TGATTTTTAGGTTAATTCTTAGGTCCTACCAGACACGGCACTCTGCAAGCTGTCTGAGCCATGCCGTCAGGATCATTCAGGATCACTGCCAGACAGCAGTTCCGTATGTCTCCTTTTTTGGTATTTTCATGCAAATTCTTCTGCTAGTTGAGGTTTAGACCACTTCTATATCCTTCCCTTGAAGGCTCGGGTGTCTAGGATTATCTTCTGTGTCTCCGTTACTTGGTTCCCCCCTTTTTTTTTTTGTTGAAGAAGGTCTGTGCAGTCTTTTTCCCTATTCTGCCATCTTACCAGAAGTCTCTTTAACAAAATTCTTACTATTCAGATAATGAGAAATTATTTCGTTACGTACAAACATTAACTTATGTGTTTGGCTAGATCTAAGTTGTTTGGTATTTCATTATAGAAGCCAGTGCTGTTTTAATAATTCAAATATGTTTTATTATTTCCATGCCTAAGCTCATTGATTTCTAAGCTTCCATGTCTCTATAAAGTAAGCTTTGTTATTGTTGTGTGCAGGCAAGTCAATTCTAACTCATAGTGACCCTACAGAACAGAGTAAAATGGTCCCATTGGGTTTCCAAAACTGTAGTCTTCTTGGGAGCAGATCAGCAGGTCTGGCGCATGTTCAGTTAGCAGCCTAGTGTTAAACCACTGAGTTACTAGGGCTTCATAAAGTAACCTTTATTAATACTTCATGAATAGAATACATAATATAGTCACATTTTACATTATACATTTATTTGAAATACTGCTTTTTAAGTTGTAATTTCAAGTGTCCAACTTTTTTTAGTGAAATATGTCTGAACCATGCCAGACTCTTTCCTTCCTTGCTTTGCATTTTGTTGCTCTTGGAACCATTTTCCTAGTGACCTGTCCTAGTGACCTCTTAGTGATTCTTGAGGCATCAGCTCAGGGCTCATTTCCTCAGAGACCTTGCCTGAACTGCCAAATTTAAATTGGGTTCTACTGCTACACTTTCTCACTGTACCCTATCATTCGCACTTAAAACTCTTACTTGTGTAATTATTTTTTTTTTTTTTTTTTTGATGATTTCCCCAGAGTCTACTAGTTGAGATCAAGTATCTCACTTGCTATTATATCCCTAACACATCATCAAGTGCCTGGAAACTAGTAGGTTTAAATGAGTGAATTTTACTTAACACTACTGGTTCTTCATAATTGCTTATTTCCTATGCTTTAAAAGAACAGGAAATTTACATATATACAAATAATGAGCACTATTAGAAAAATTCAGTTCTTTAATTCTTACTCTGATATCAGATGGCTGTGCGACCTCACTCTAGGTCTCAGTGTCATCCTATGTAAAAGGAAGAGACTGAGTCCTTTCCAAGGCCCCTTGAAGATGACAGTTTAGTTTACCTATTTATAAATTATATACAACACAGAGAAATCACATAGGTGGTGGTCTTATTGTCATTGCATGTTGGATGATTTTTAAAAATATTCCTTAGAGTATTCTTTTTAATTCTAACAAAGGTAAATTAATTATAACACTAACAAGATTAAAGATGCAAGGTAGACAGTTGACTAATCATTGATTCATTTTTAGCTTTTATCTAATTCCCTCTTTCTCTTGATTTATTTTTGCTACAGTCTGATTCCATATAAATTAATGCATGACTGGAAGGAACTGTTTTTCAGTGGAAAACCCATTTATGAACAAGCCAAAATTATGCATCTACCAGCTAAGCCCTCTGAAGAACAAATTATAGAAGTAGAGAAAAGAGACTTGCTGGATGGCAAGGATTATGAAGAATACAAGGTACAAACTGATGAAGCATAATTAGAGAAAATAGAACATAATAAATGTTTTTTCCTTAACATTAATTTTGTGATACTTAATTTTATTCCCATTCATAAAAATGCACCTTTTATGTTTCCATTTTCCTTTGGGTTATTGTTACCTACAAGACTAATTTCTAAATGCCTAGATTATTGGTAATCGATTTTTTTCCCCCTGTGACTCAATGCATTTTTTTTTTTTGCAGTGTTCCCTCTCCTCCCTCCCACCCCAGTAACCAACAAAGAAAGTTCCCTTCCATATGTAAACCTTTCTTTGACTTTTTACAATAATGAACTAATGCTATATTTGTCCATCTGTGATTGACTCCTTTCACTCAACATAATGTCCTCCAAGTTTATTTGTGTTATGTGGTGTTTTGCAGATTCTACATTATTCTTCAGGGTTGCACAGTATTCTGTTGTGTGTATGTACCACAGTTTGGTTATCCATTCTTCTGTTGATGTGCCCATAGGTAGTTTCCATCTTTTTGCTATTGTAAATAGTGCTGTGATGAACATTGTTGTGCGTATATCTGTTCTTGTCCTGGATCTCACTTTTTTAGGATATATATCTAGTAATGGGATTGCTGGGTCAAGTTTCTAATTCCAGCTTTTAAAAGAATTGCCATACTGCTTTTAACAAATTCCCTTAATTTCTGCTTATCTAGAAATGTCCTAATTCCACCATCATATTTGAGGGACAGTTTTGCTAGGTATATTCTTTGTTGGAAATTTTTCTCTTTCAGGGTTTTATATATACCGTCCCATTGTCTTCTTGCCTACATTGTTTCTGCCAAGAAATCTGAGCTTATTCTTATTGGTTGCCCCTTGTAGGTAACTTCGTTTTTCCCATGCTGCTTTTACGATTCTTTCTTGTCTTTGGTTTGGGATAGTTTGATGATGATTTGTCTCGGTGATTTTCTTTTGTGGCCTATCCTGTTTGGGGTTCATTGGACTTATTGAATGGATATATTCTCATCTTTCATCATACTGGGAAAATTCTCTTCCAACAAATCTTTGACAGTTTTCTCTGTAGTTTTATTTGTCTCTTCCTGTTCTGGAATTCCAGAACATGTAGGTTATTCCTTTTGATGGTATCCCATATGAACCTTAGGCTTTTTTCATTTTATTTTGATCTTTTTTCTGATTGTTCCCTTTCCAAAGAAGTATTGAGGTATTTGGCTTCAGTCTCACTAGTTCTGTCTTCCATTGATTCATTTCTACCCCTTTGCCCATTCAATGTGTTATCTATTTCTGAAAATTTAGTATTAATCTTTTGGATTTCTGTCTGTAGATTTTGTATCATTTCTAATTTTTCATTTATTTTGTCATTTTGTTCTTGTATTGTCTTTCAAAATTGTTCTAGCATTTTTCTCTGTGTTTTCCTCAATTTTTCAATGTTTTCCTTGATCTGTCTCTCAATTCGTTGAAGGTACCTAAATATAATTCTTTTGAATTCCTTATCAGGGAGTTCCAATGCTGCATCTTCCTCAGGGATATGTTTTGGGTCTGTATCCTGGTCCCTTGTTTCTCCTGCTTTATCTTGCTTCTTTTGGGGACTGTGATGCTTTGTAGTCTCTGAGGCATTGTGATGTTTTTGTGTTTATATTTAATTGGTGATTGTATGTTGGAGTGACTTGCCCAAATTTTTGTTTTCTTTGTATGTTATCTATGTAAGCAGTGTACTGTGCTGTGCTCCTCTATTCATTAGTTGGCAGCACTTATACACTTACCACCTATCTCTTTTCCCATTGTCTGACTCCCATATATCCCTGCTGTCCTTGGCAAATGGAGCCTATTCTTAGGTCCTTGGAATCTGAATGAGAATGCTGTCACTTTAAAATCCAAAATGTCTGCCACTTGTAAACCTTCAAAATCGCTGCACCCTTGGTCACTTTAAATACCCAAAATGGCCACTGAGTGTGACCAATCAAAATGGATGTGCCCTCCGGACAGCTGAAAATCCACAGCTCAGGTTGTCTCCCTCCTTGCTGTTTCCCTTCCTAGTCATAGGCCACCAGTGCAGTCATCCCTGCAGCCCTTGATGACCAGGGCTGATCTTTAGGTCAATTCTCAGGTCCCAACACCACTTGGAAATATTCAGGCTATTGGTCCTGTCAGAGTAGCTAACAGTCCACTGCTCTGACTGTCTCCATACTCACTGTTGTCATTCAGGTTTTTCCACTAGTTGGTGCTTAATCCACTTCTGTATACTTCCTTTCAAAGCTCAGGGCTCCAGGATTATCTTCTATATCTCTGTCAATTGGTTTCTCTTTTCTTTGTTGAAGTGAGTCTGTGGAGCTTGTCTACCTATTCCGCCATCTTACCAGAAGTTCTATTTGTAATCTATTATCTATTATTCTAGTGACAAAAGAAGAGTGGTCTGAAGACATCAAGCTTAATACATCTTCTGAGCAGATAAACTTCCAAAATTTAAAAAGGCTTTCAGTTATTCATTTGTGTTTTTTGTTTGTGCACAATGCCTACTTTTACCTCAAAAACCACAGTTAAAAGCTATTTCTTTAACCTAATTTATTGCTTAGTAATTAATCTGAACAGTATATTGTTTTTGCAGACACAATAGAAGAAGAGATCCAGGTTTTATGAATAACATAAATTAAAACAATATTCAAAGATTTCAAAAGGTATCGGTGTCAATTGTTCTTCTTAGAAGATCTTTGGATTAGGGAGACTAGGATTCCAATACTGGTATTATCACCTACTAGTTTGTGAGCTGAGGTCACTAGTCCCTTAAGTGCTAGGAACTTAGTTTCCCAATATATAAACTATGGATAATAAATAACATACCTACCTCATCTTCTTGCTGTGATTATTAAGATAATTTGAGTTAAATACTTAGCCAAGTGCATTGCATGTTGTATGCAAGTAGTAAATATTAAATCGTGTCCTCACCACCTGCCTTTTCCCACCCTATTCTAACCCATCTTTAGAGGAAAAGATGTAAAAATAACATTTTTTGAAGTTCTGGGTAGATCAACGAATGGAATGAAAACTGAGACTTTGTATTATTAGGGATAGTTATTGAATGAATTCCAGAAGAGTGATAAGTGTAACATGAAAAAAAGAGAAGGAAAGATGATTTGACCCAATCATTTTCTCATATTTAGTAAATGATAAATGCTTACCGAGAGTATGGATGAATAAAATGAATTTCACACAGTGAACAGGACTAAGTATAAAGGAGTACTAATTATGTAAATATCAAAAGAAGGTAAGTTGGTGATAAAAAAAATAAGGAAAGATTATAAGATTATAAGAAACTAAATATACAACATATTTTAGTTGAATGAATCTGAATTTGTATTGCCAAAAGAATGACTATGTAGTTAGGACTGACTGCTCTCAATGAGCTTGCAGTTTGAAGGAGAGCTATACCTTGGACCTGTTGATTTGATTCCCTGGTGGTACGCTCGTTAAGGGCTCTGCTGCTAATGGAAAGGTCAGTGTTTCAAACCTCCGAGCCACTCCACAGGAGAAAGATATGGCAGTCTGTGTCTGTAAAGATGACAGCCTTGGAAACCCTTTGGGGCATTTCCCCTCTGTCCTGTAGGGTCATAAGAGTTGGAATCCACTCCTCAGCAATGAGTTTAAAAAGATTAATTAGAACCTTAAAGGATATATGTGCATATTTATTTTGTGGAATTTTAGAGCTAGTATGTCAACCTAAAATGTGTCACAACAAAATGCTTTGACAATATCAAACTACATGAAGATGTTTCTTTCCATTACAAAAGTTATTTTACTGATTCATGTAATATTTATATCTAAGTTATTTCTTAAACCTGTACTCCTTGCTCTCATAAATCAGGAGACCTGCTAGGCTGTAGTTTAGCAAAGATTTGTCTTTCTTTATAAATTTTTTTTTCTTGCTTGGGAAATGGTTACCACAGGAACACACTTGTCTTACCCACATCCTGAAGCAGCTGGTAAGTTTTCTTTTGCAGAAAATTGTAGACTTTTGTTAGGAGTTTGTAAACATCTGGCTATGTAGTTTATTTTCTTTATAGCCTTTGCTGTTTTTTTGGAAATGAATGTTATGTTTGAGTTTCTGACATATGTTTACATGCTCTATTCCTTTTCATACATAATGGGAATGATTCTATATGCAAGAGTTAGTATATTCTGTGAGTAAATGATTCTACGATCATTATCTATGTTTAGAGTTTTTATCTCCTTGAGAACTTGTCCTAATTGTTTCTATATTTAAGTAAAAATTAAATGTTTTCCATTTGTGAAATATGTCATCTAGCTTTGCCTTTGCAAGAGACACAGGGGAAAGCATGTTAGCTTTGCTAATGAAAACTGTTACCAAAACCAAACCCACTGCCATTGAGTCAATTTTCACTCATAATGACCCTATGGGATAGAGTAGAAGTGCCCCATAGGATTTCCAAGACTGTAAATCTTTACAGAAGCAGACTGCCTCATCTTTCTCCCTTGGAGCAGCTGGTGGGTTCATAACTGCAATCTGTTGGTTAAGCAGTCAAATGCTTTAACCACAACACCACCAGAGCTCCTGAGAACAGTTGTGCATACCTGTTATTGCTAAATTTGCTCAGGATTTTTAATGGTTCCGGTAACTGTATACTGTATAGACTAATCTTGAAAAGTGTACATTCTTAACATTGTTGTCCATACCCACCATTCCTAAAGACCTGACAGTTCCCAGTTTTGAGCCCAGCTGTTTAAAACTTTATTACAGTAAGTTACAGTGCTTGAAATTTTTAATTATTACACCTGGAAATTGACATTAAAATGAATTTTTCTTCTTGTGCCTGTCATATGCAGCTGCCAAAAATTTAACTCTTATTTCTTAACCTTATTTGCAAATCATCATACTATTTATAACATGGCTGCATGTGACAGAGCTCCAGTGCAGGAATGTTGTGGCCAGAAGGATCTTCTCTGTCTCCTCAGGAGGAGGCAGGGACAGTATCATGGAGCAGCCACACTTTCATG